TAGACATGAACCAGGCAGATGATAGATATGATTGTTTAGACATGAACCAGGCACATGATAGATATGATTGTTAAAACATAAATCAGGATTTGTCACTGAGGTCATTTGAAGATGCATACACTTTAAATAAAATTTCTCTTCCTAACCATATCTCTTTTATATGAATTCGAACATGCTGATGTCTCTGATGAAATTACGAAACTTTACTGTGTTCTTTTATTTATTTCAGGCATTCAACACTTTTATAGATGATATCTTTGCCTTCATTATCACCATGCCAACAGCTCACAGGCTAGCCTGTTTCCGTGACGATGTAGTTTTTGTAGTTTATTTGTATCAGAGATGGTGAGTCCTGTCATTTTTATGTTTTCTGGTAAAAAAACCCCATTATGTGTATACTGCTATTTGTATATAATCTATAGAGTGGGATGGATTTGACCGATAACCATCAAGTGAGTAAATCTCGCCCAATCGTACCTGCACTATATCCACATGCACTGTGTCATCACGCCTGTCAAAATACAGGGTTTTAAAATATTGATTCCAGGAAATATAATCACAACAAATTTCTCCCTCTACAAAAACAACAAAATGTAACCCGAACGAAAATATATGCTTTTACAGTATTGTAGAGACGGCACAGAATTTCATGGACTTTAATAAATTTGTTTGATAGAAACCAATTTTGGTAGAAACCAATTTTGGTATGAAACCAAAGAAAATATTTTTGAAAAAATAACTTCTCTGTTAACTTAAATAAAAACATCTTGCAAGAAAATCCGAAGTTGCTGCGTACTGTAGGTCGGAGGTTATTTCCCGGGTGCTTCAGTTTGTTTTACTCCACCACCAAAACCTGGCACGTCCTTAAATGAATGGGATGTACAACACCAATTATCAAACAAGAAAATTGGCTTTCTAGTTATTAAGATATTTCAAATAAGGGTGCATTTCCCTAGAGTTTTGAAGGAGAAAATTTACATCATGAGCAGTCACAGCAATGCAGTCGTTCTTGTTTGAAATGCAGAACTGGAATTTTCCATTTTCATGCAAAATAACACGTACTTAAAATAGATCACATGTATTTATGAGCCAGTCATGTCCCTGTCACTGACACTTCGATAGGAAACAAAACAAGTGAATCTGTATAAAACCCTGATAACATTGAATTGTGATTATCACCTGAATCATTCTTCTTACAGGTTATACCCAGTGGATAAAAAGAGAGTCAATGAATTTGGAAGGTCATACGAGGATGAAGATGACAAAAAGAAGAAATAGTGGGCCAAGCAGTTGATATACTGAGAAAGGAACAAGTCAGAATATTTTATATTTCTCAGAGTTGATGTTGTTTTTTGAAGAATTAATGATGTGTGGTTTTCCTTTAAGGAAAGTTGAAAGTCCTAGAAATCCATCACACAAGATCTTCAAATAATGAAGTTTTACATTAAGGTGTTGATTACATCTACATATAAACAACATCACCTGATTGACACAAAGATCTAAACACTAAGAAACAACCTTGTAGGTTATTCCCTGAAACTTAATTAGCTATCCACTTAGAAGTTGATTTCATTGTTTTATTATCTACATGGTTTACTATCTACATGGATTGTTATCTATGTGGTTTACTATATGCAAGGCTTACTATATACATGGTTTACTGCTTTAATATTCGTAGTACACTATAAATACTGATATATTTTGTAAGACTGATTATTACCAAGGAAATTTTATACCATATGATGTGAATTTAAAGGAAAATAATTTAACATTAAAACAAATTCATATGTACATTTTTTTGCATAGATCTTTTTCATACTTGATAATATTTTGAGAATTTCATTGGATATATTTTGCATGCTCTAAATACCTGCTAGAGATAAAATAATCGATTAAAAATTACATATTTTGAGTTATTTGTTCTAGATATTAAAATATAGGGATAGTTTTAGCAAATTCAGTAGTTGAAAATATCAAAGTAAAAGTATTTTTCACCGTTCTAAACCCCTAACAAAAAAGTTAGAGGGGTATACCGCCCTCACCCCCATCCCCCATTATAGACAGAGGTATCTACACTTCTGGTAGGACACAGATATACTTTTGTCTAACCCTAGAGTAAAGAGGGGGGGGGGATTTCCCTGTCATACCAATTGCATGACGTCGCGCCGACAATGCCTTGGTATCACGTCAACAATAACAGATCATGGAAGATAACTCTGATCTGCTGGAAATAATGAAATCATCATTTGCATTTAATGAAAGTATTACTTGTATTTGATGTGTGTAGAAAAAGTGCACCCCTTAATTAAATTATCAGGTATCAGAAGTGTATTGGAATATATCTGCTGAGACACAAGTGAATATTTCAATAATGCTACTTTATGACTTTGTGACTTACAGAAAAAAATCCTTGTTAAAAGTGTCTGTCTATCTGGGCTTTCACCTTTGTCTTTATATCACATGTAATTAACCTATCGATAATGTTAGTGGAAACATTATGATACAGGAGATTATTATGATTTAGAAGTAATAAAACAAATAGCCTCTTGATTTTTTTAAGCATTGCTGACATCTAATTCTTGTTGTGTAGTACGTGTAATGAAGATATTATGAAGCACTTGTATTTTATCTAATCTGCTAAACATTTAAGGATAAAGTTGCAGAATGAATCTGTATTAAACATGTGTCAAAACTACAAAGACTTGACATGTTGGCTGCATTTTACCATATTTGTGTTCGGTGGTAAATTACAATGTACTTTTTTGTAACATTTTTGTGAAGAAAATAGATCTTCAACAAAGAACGAAATCCAGATATCAGTTAGCTGTTTTGTATTAATCCAGATATCAGTGTGCTGTTTTGTATTAATCCAGATATCAGTGTGCTGTTTTGTATTAATCCAGATATCAGTGAGCTGTTTTGTATTAATCCAGATATCAGTGTGCTGTTTTGTATTAAATTATAAATATTATAGGTAAAATATACTAAAGATTACATCTAACAACTAACCATCAAAAAGTGACATGGGTATCGACTCTCACTTCAGTCAACAAATTTGTCATATGCAAGGTATGTCTTACTATCCATGTGTCATACACAAGGTATGTCTTACTATCCATGTGTCATACGCAAGGTATGTCTTACTATCCATGTGTCATACTCAAGGTATGTCTTACTATCCATGTGTCATACACAAGGTATGTCTTACTATCCATGTGTCATACACAAGGTATGTCT